TTTGAACTGAAAATCTTCCTGGATGAAAAGAGAAACATCTTCAAACTTGGAAACAAAGTCCAGTGGATTGTTTTTAACTTTTTTTTTTTTGGAATGACAGTGACCTGGATGACTGAGAATCTTCACCACCATTAAAACGGTTTCAGTCTGTTTTTAAAGGAAACATAATTAGGATGAGATGTTATTGAAACCTAGAGCAGAGGAGGAATTTCACACCTTTGTTTAAAGCATTCACTGAGGCGTTGCTCTTAAATGTTTAAATACATTTCTAGATTAGATATTATCCAAGCGAGTACAAAGGTTAGATTTCTCAAGGGAAAAAAAATAATTCCACTATGAAAATTTGTTTTCCTGTAAACCAAGCAGCTGTTTGAAGGGAACGCTTTCATTTTAGTGGTTGTGATAAGTGGAGATGAGTCTTTACCAACATGGGGGAGGATTTTAGAGCTCTACCATCCCGGTTAGAGGTCAGCTTTCTATCCATAAAGTTGTTAAAAAGCATTTATTCATTAGTTACCCTGCTTTCTGAATCCCAGAATAACCCCAATGCTTGATCTTTCTAAAACAATGGCGGCTTTGACTGCCGGTCCAGGAGTTTTCTCTAAGTTCTTTAGGATCAGATGGCAAACGGTGGCTTTGGTCTTGGTTCCGACATTGATTCCAGATTTCATCTCAGTTTTCTCTCTTATTGTTGAAGTCTGACTTTGACTGAGATCAGCGGCACCAGCTGTGCTTTACATTCAGGAGGTTCTCCGATCTCTCCTATATAACGGCTCTTACTGTGGTTCTCTGGAGTTCTGAAGCCTTAGAAAGGAATTTGTACCCTTTTCAAGAGAGACGAGCGCCAATAAATTTCATATTTTTGTTCTTAAATGTGTAGATTGATCAGATATGCATGGGGTGACATTTCTTCCATTATCGTGCAGATCAAAGAACAGTTTTGTCAATAGAAATCTGGGAAAAAAAAAGGAAATCTAGAAATAACACCATGAAACATTTCTTCAATTGTCTCAGATTTAATTTCGAATTGTCATTTTTTTCCCCCAGTATTCCACCATCTTACATTGAACAAAGCAAATTCTTCAACTTTGCCACTCCAGCCCTTTAGGTGATGCTATGTTAAAAGGGGCTTATGCCACGCAGAAGGGAGGAGAAAGCACTGATCTCTATTTTCTGGATCGCTGATGGATCGAAAAAAAAACTGAAGTCACCTGCTGCCATCTTAGTACTCCCCACTTTCATGGAGTCACGCCATAAAAATGTCTGTAATCGAATGTAATTACAACAACGATGTAATCAATACACATATATTTAGGGTTTCCACGGGTCATTAAAAATCATAAATATATATATATATATATATATATATATATAATAATTATTAATTTTTTAGATTAAGACCTTAATTGGCATTAAAATTCATAAAATTTGATTATTGTGGTGTTTAAAATGCTTTATTTTAAAAAAAAGTTTATAAAAAACAATTTCATCACATATATTATGTCAGATTCCACTTGGCTGCACAGCGGGTCATTAAAAGTCATTAAATTATTATTCTTTAAATTAAGGCCTTAATTGGCATGAAAAGTCATTAAATTTGATAATTGTGGCATTAAAATACTTCGGAAAAGAAGCTTGAGGCGGAGAAAAGGCTAGAGAACGGGGAAAAATGCAAATTTGAACCAATGTGATGGGAAAACGAGGAACTCAGGACACGGCTGCAGCCTGTCCAAAGTGAAGATGACGAAGAATTTTGCTGTGTGTTTATATACACAGAGCAAAATCCTTCGATTTTTTTTTTTTTTTTATGCCACATTGATGGCATTAAAGTCAGAAAATAGCACCAGACAGAAGGTTTACCTAACACAATTTCTGCAGTAACTTCCTCAGAGTAAACGGTCATTAGATTTTTATTAGTTATAAAATAAATGCATTGAAATAAACAAAGCTCTCATTAATATCTGTCTTCCTTTTTCTTAAAGGACTGTCCTCCTTATGACAAAGGAGCCTTTCGGATCGAGATCATCTTCCCTGCAGAGTATCCCTTTAAACCCCCTAAGATCACCTTCAAGACAAAGATCTACCACCCCAACATCGACGAGAAGGGCCAGGTGTGCCTGCCCATCATCAGCGTGGAAAACTGGAAGCCGGCTACAAAAACGTGCCAAGGTGGGTAGAGAAGGCGGGAAGGCGTCTGCTGCTGACGCCGCAGCTCTCTAATGTTTGTTTCCTTCTCCGCTACAGTGATTCAGTGTCTGATTGCGCTGGTGAACGCCCCCCAGCCGGAGCACCCGCTCAGGGCGGACCTGGCGGAGGAGTACACTAAGGACCGCGCGAAATTCATGAAGAATGCCGAAGAGTTCACAAAGAAACACAGTGAAAAGCGACCTGTAGACTGATGACACAACACTGCCCCGCGCACCCGTTAGCCTCTGTTCTGTTTCCTGACCGAAGAACCCAGCCTGACTCTCTGTTCTCAGCCCCGCCTCCCACAAAGACGCCCCGTTCTCATGTACCTGCGATGTTTAGCACTCTCTCCAACCAGTCTTTTAATAGAGGCTCGTTTTTCTGTTCCACTTTACCAAAAAAAAAAAAAAAATCTAAGAAAAAGAAAAAAAGCAGGACTTTTTTGGTGAGTAGGCAGCTTCCGGCCTCCAGGTGTCATCTTTTTGGTTTGTTTATTTTCACTTCTTTCTACTGATTTCTTTTTAGAAAAAAAACCCAACAAATTGTGTGAGGTGGCATCTTGAAGGTTAAATTAAACAATTAAAAAGTGCTCACCTGAATGTTGAATTTTCTCCCTTACAATGTTCTTATTTACGTCTTTTCTTTTAGCAGCAGCATCCACAGCCTCCTCCTTTCTCACCATCCACCTTCTGCTGCTAGTTGGAATAAGTTTGTTACAGATAACGACCTCGCAGCAATGTTCAGGTGTCATTTAAATCATTCTTATTTTGTATTTTTAGGAGAATATTCCTTCTAAATAAAATATTTCCACCTCTTTTGGCCTCCTCCACAAAGTGAAACTGATTAATTAAAGCTGGCGAATCTGAATGAAAGAAATCTCTTAAGAGAATAATGTGTAACAAAGTGAAACCAGTCAACTTGGTAAATATTATTTTTTTTTATTGAAGTCAGGGTAAGCCGTTACTTGAGGTAGACTTTCTGCAGGTCATGTCGAAGATCTTTTTACCCTGAAGAGTCACAATCTTTGAGGCGGACATCAACCTCTGTAGTAGTGCCAAGGTTCTCCAATCACGCCGGGTCTCCCGCTAAAAGCGCCCGCGGGTTCGGCTCTCACTTCTTGAACATGACGAGCGGAGCTGGGACCGTGATGTCCTGACCCTTTTCCAACTTCTTCTCGCACTCGATCAGGTAGTTGACTCCGTTGATCACCAGCTGAACCAGCTCCACCTAAACAAAAAACAGGAGACCTCACTTCTGCTGCCAAATATGGAGTCAAATTTATTCCATTATTGTTGCAACCAAAAACGTTTGTTAAACTGAAAGTTGAATAATTGTTAACTTAATTTAAAAACCCTTTTTTATTAAAAACATTTAAATTCTCAGAATTTCTTTTTCCCAAAGGTTTTTTCCGACATTTTTTTTTTTTTACAGATATTTTTATTTATTTTTTTACATTTTTGTAGATTTTAAAATTTCATTATATTTACACTGTAGTTTATGCCTATATGGATATACCATATAGTTATACCTATATTGAGGGAAATTTCTTCCATTATTGTTGCAACCACAGACAACGTTTTGTAAACTGAAATTTGAATAATGGTCAAGAAAGAAACCTTGGCAAAGGTATTGTAGAAACATTTTTTTATAAAAACATTAAGGTTTCTCAGTATTTTTTTTCCCCCAAAAAAATGATTTTCCAAATTTTTTTACACGTAATAAAAATGTTATTTTTTTTTCAATTTTTTGTAGATTTTATAATTTCTTTATATTTGCATTGCACTTCATATCTATATGGATATACCATATAGATACAACCATATAGAGTGAAATTTATTCCATTATTGTTGCAACCAAAAACGTTTTCTAAACTGAAATTTTATTAAAAGTTAGGTTACTCTGACATTTTTTTATTTTTATTAAAAACATTTAAATTTCTCAAAAAAATGTTTTCCCAAAACATTTTTTTCCAACATTTTTTTTTTTTTACAGATAATTAAAAAAAATTTTTTTCTTCACATTTTGGTAGATTTTTTAAATTTCATTATATTTGCATTATACTTTATACTTATATGGATATACCATATAGATGCACCTACACATATGGAGTGAAATTTCTTCCATTATTATTGCAACCAAAGACAATGTTTAGTAAAGTGATATTTGAATAATAGTAAAGAAATAAAAATGGGCAAAGTTACCCTATAAACGTTTTTGTTTTTTCTCTGAATTTTTTTTCCCTATTTTTGTTTGCAGATCTTTTTTTTTTTCACATTTTTGTAGATTTTATAATTTCATTATATTTGCATTGTACCTTTTATAAATTTTAAGCCCAAGCTCTCGACATTGATTTCAACAAGTAAAATGTTTTACAATTTCTTAAATAACATCTGTATAAGGAAAAAAAAAGCAATGTCAGTCAAAAACCTTTTCTGATTGTACCTTTTTACAAATTTGCATTTCTGGATCACATTTTATTTCAACTTCCATTCACAAACTTTATTTGCTTGCAACAATAATGGAACTAAGTTCACTCCATACATTGAAAGGGATTACGCCTGTAGATGACAGAAACAGAAACTGGAGGCTTACCTCAGATTTGCCCAGACGGTCGAGGTTGGAAATGTCGAAGGTGTCCCCGGTGGCGGCTGTGTCCACACCGCCAGTGCCTCGCTTCTGCAGCCGCAGGTTGTCGAGGATTTTAGAAAAGCGTGGATCCTGCAGAGCAAAGGGTGACACACAAAACAAAAACAAAAAAAGGTTCAACATTCTGTGATGCTTGAGGCTAAATGACTAAAAGCATAACACAACGCAGTGGTTTTGAGTTTTTTGTTTCTTTGTGGGTGTCTAGTATTTTTTTAAATAAACCAATCCATAAAGGAGAGGAAAAGAAATCCTCATATATAAAGAGACAAACCCAATGTGGCAGCATGATGCTGGGTGCTAAAGATCAATGTACAGGAGAACAGAGGCTCCAAAACACTAGAATAAAAACATCATGCTGGAACGGGCCAGACATAAATCCATTAAACTCTTTGGGAATTGCTGTCCTCAGTTTCAGATCTGGAGCTTTGTAAACATCAGGAGTATCAAACACCTATATTAGCCCACAATATTATATTTTTACAAATGCGCCATATGCAAAGTAAAAACAGTCCCCTGGACTTTGTTTCAAGGTTTCAAATTTGGAAACAAAGTCCAGGGGATTGTTTTTAATTTTCTTCTTTTGGAATGACTGACCTGGATGACTAGGAATCTTCACCAGCATATGTTAACACCAGAATTTCCCCATTGTAGGACATTAAGGGGATTTCTATCCTATTCTGTTCTATAATACAGGCTTTTTGGTCCTTTTTTGTATAATGTTAGTATGCACCATAATTAGTAGGGGTGTGCATTGGCACTGCCCTCACGATTCGATTACAATTCACCAGGTAACGATTCAATTCGATTCTACGATGCATTGCGATGCATCAAAATCCCATTGACTTCGTAAAATCCGAAATGTGCCCAGATATCCGCTTTTCAAGCTTTTGGTGCGTTTTTGATTAGGCCTACCCATCTATCGCGGTCATCTCCCTCCGCCTCAGCCATCTTGATTGTTG